CACCGGCCGACCTCCACTCAGCAAACTCCTCCACCTCATCCTTCAGGGCCCAAGCCATCTCCCTGTGAAGCCCTTCTGGCTTCTTCTGGTCTGAGTGATTCAATACATGTTTGTTGGGTGGTGGGCGGATGGCTGGGGGCAGAGGGCTTTCGCCTGTGTGCCTGCAGACACCTCTAGAAGAGTGCTGAGGGCAGCCTGAGCCAGAAGCCTAGGCGGGAGTGGGTTTACGGGACTCTTCCAACCCATCTCTGGATAATGACGGCTTTTGAGGGAATGAACTTGTCTAGGACATGACGACATTCACAGCCAATGACTCAGAGCCCCAGGAGGAGAGACAGGGGAGGGCCTGGAAAGAGGAAGCTGAGAAGCCACAAAGACCACCCCTGTCTGTCCCCAAGCTCTCAGCCACACCCTCCCCTTGACTCGGGCAGCCAGCTGTCCCCGACTTACTCTGTCTCGCAGGACCTTCCCCGCACTGCCCAGTCTCTCCATTTAGCAGGGACGCCATCCCCTGGCCCTGTGTCTGTTGGTGCTCAGACTTGGTGCCCACAGGGAAACGTGGGACCTCTCACCCATACATCTGCCCGTGGCCTGGTCCACTCATTCAGGACTGTGGTCACCATGTGGCCAACACCATGGGGCTGGGGAGGAAGGAAGTTCTCCCAGCTGTCAGAGGAATCCAAGAGCTCTGGCCAGAGTGGTAGCAATCGAGTCACGTCCCTTCAGTGCTGCCAAGTAGGTAATTAATGAGGGACCTGGTAAGCACAGCGCAGACCAGAATCCGCAGAGGGATCTGCACTCAGAACTCCCGAGGCCATTGACAGAGCCGCGGTGGCTGCACCCTGATTCAGCAGTTTTATGAGGCCTCCATTAGATCAATTATTCATCATAGACCCCGACCAAGTTAACAGGCTCACGAGCGAAAGAAACAAGTCTTCTAATCTGCTTTTCCCTCCTCTCACGCCGCCCGGTGCAGAGCTCCAAGCACACACTCAGAAACCCTCCCTGCCTGCCTGGGGGCCAGGGAGCGTGGTCCTCAGCTGGAAAGCGGCCTCCTCCAGCCCAGCCGGGCAGGGACCTGGTCCCCAACCACATGGCCACTCAGCACAGGTGTGCGTGCGGGCAGGTGCACAGTGAATGCAGGTAAGTCAGACGCCACATGAGAACAGCCACGCACTAGATTCATGCAGCTCCTCCACCGTCGTGCCCAGTCACCCCTGATAGGCAGTCTGGCTGCTCCAGGGCTCCTCTGCAGACAGGAAGCTGCTGCCCAGCGAGGAGAAGGGATTCCCCTGGCGTTGCTCAGAGGCCAGGTGGGCAGATTCCCAGCTGCATCAGGGGAGTCAGGGCCACGCAGGGTGAGGCAAGCGAGGCTCCAGGGCCCAAATGTTCCTCCCCTTGGGCTCACACAGGTGGGGGACAGCAGCCCAGGTGGGAGGAACAGGAGTCATGGGCGCGGAAGGTGAGAGAGAGACCTCACCCAGCCTGCGCCCGGGCCTCTCAGGACGAGGAGCAGAGGGGCCACGAGGAGGAGGAAGGACCGGCAAAGGCTGAGAGCCTGGAGGAAGCCCAGACCTGCAGGCGGAGGACAGCGCAGGGAGAGACCAGACAGGAGGGGAGGCCCCTGGGACCTTGGACCTCAGGGCTGCAGACTTTATCCCAAGTGCAAAGGCAAGACATCGGGCAAGTCTGAACGGGAGAGATGCGATAGGATTTGTTTCTGAAACGCTGGTCGCTTTTACGGCTGAAATGACTTCTGATCATCCCTGGGCTTAAGGGTACTTACTGCATTCCAGAAGACGTATGCAAAAACAAAGTAAAGTCTAGGATAATTTTACATGGACCTGAGGATACACACACCCACCCACACACTCACACGTATGCACAAAAATGTGTATGCATAATTACACACACCTGTCTGCACACATACCTCTCTTAAGTCATCAGTGCACACCACACCATTGTGAACTGAACTAAATGCTCTTAGCCAAACAGAGAGCAAGGTGTGACCACTACAAACACCCTAGGGACCTGCTGCCCAGAGATGTGTGCCCTCAGCTGGCCCTGTGGGCCTCTCAGCCGAAGGTTCTGGAGATGCAGGCCCTCTGACAATGTGCTCACTGGTCAGACACGGCAGGCCTTCCCCGGGCTGGTGGAAGACACTGCGCCAGTCCCCAGGGAAACGCAGGGTGGACTCTGTCCCAAGCCAGCTTTAGGTCCTGCTGCACACTGCATTTGGCTGCACTGGCTGTGTGTGACTCTGTCGTGGCTGTGACGGCCTCTCTGCCCTGAGGCGCTGACTTCAGGTGTGTCTCCAGGACCTGCACCTCATCCTCAAAGTTGCTTCAGCAAGAGGATTTGAATTTCCCTTTAATTATGTGAGTTGTTAAGTATTTAATGTTATAATATAATGGAAGAGGTTTACCTCTTGTTCATTGAGTCCCCCCCAACATGTTAGTAAAAGCAAAATTTTATAATTTGCTTTTATGACACATGAATGAAGGATTTGGTCGCTTGTTTGCTGAATCAAAGAGAAACTGATAAGATAAATTGAGCTCCCTGAAAACGTAACACTTGAAACTGCTTAGTGGCCTAAATTGAGATTTTCTTGATACTTTAATAACCAATTATAACAACGCGAGATAATGAGTCAGGCACTAAGATAATGTAACTTTGCAAGCTTCCTCAGCAGCATCCAACTTCTGCTTTTTGCTTGTTTTCAACAGCACCACTGTTTGTGTGGGTTGTTTTGGTAATGGACACATGTTAGTGAGCATCAGTGTGCTCAAAACTGGTGCCAATGAGAAGCTGCTACTCTTGTCTGTTTTCTTATAATGGATTTCTTTGTAGGATCTCTTTTGTAAAGAAGGATTCTGCTGCTGGAAAGGTTTAGGGAAAAAATGGACTGGATGGCTTCCACGCCCCTTAGCTCAAATCTTCCATAAATCTGTAAAGAATCGTAGCAGAAGAGGACTCAGGCCTTCGCCAAGCCCCTGGCTTTTCAGCCGCAAAGGAAACTTGCCAAGAAACATATGCTTTCAAGTCTAGATGTTTGCACTTCAAGAACTTCTCATCTGTTTTCCACAGGCACTTCTTTTAGCTTATTCGGACATTGGTTGGGTGTATTTTTGCCACCTCCTCCCTTCCCAGGTCCCCATTTTCAGGGCTTCCCACAGCTACAAGGACAGAAAGGTCGCTCTTCGTGGTGACACCCTCACCTGTACTTACAGGAGTGGAGTACTTGTTTCTCACACCTCTTGGCTCAAAAAGCACGCCACAACCCTTGAATTTAACGAGAATGGGAGATGAATTAATCAAAGCGAAAAGGATGAAGTACTGACTGGTTTCACGTAAATGACCCAAGGATGCAAACACGTAACTGGAAATTCTTGCGGTCGCACCGCTTTATGCTCTGAGGGTGTAACGGTTCTAATGACAGCACAGGTGCAGTTCAGAGTTGCTTTGTGGGGATGGAGCATGTGGACGTGAGACTTTCAAGCCCTGTCCTGGGCCCTGGGAGCCAGGGCTCAATTTGGCAGGAGGGATGTAAGACTCACTTCGGGCCACAAGCGTGGCCTCAACGTTTGCGAGTGAGGCACACCCCACCCTGCGACCCAGGACTGTCTACGTAATTTTCGGGACCCAGTGCAAAATGAAAACGTGAGCCCCTTATCCAAACAGTAAGAATGTCAAGATGGCAACAGTAGAGCATCAACCAAGCACAGGCCCTTCCGAGTGGGGCCGTGGGGCCCTCCAGCTCCCGTGTCCGTGCAGCTGGCCTGACCAAGACCAGAGGGACACGCTGTCAGGCACAGGCCCTCTCAAGGACTCATGGCATCATGTTTGTGCAAAGAGGAAGAGCACATTCTTACCCAGCACGGCCTCAGAAAAGACCATGAAATCATAAAGGTCTTCAGTTCTTTCTCAGAAGCTTTCCATCATAAAAATTGTTGCTCTTTGGGTCTTGAAAACCTCTTTTAGTTCTTGTCAGAAAAGCAAAACTTTCTGTTAAAACCTTAGCTAGGTACACTAGTGAAGTCCGAATAAGGCCTGCGTCTGAGACCTGTGTTCACAGTGTGGTGCCAGTCAGTTTTCTGGTTTCGATAACATACTGCGGTCATGGAGGGTGTTGTCCTTGGGGAAAGCTGTGGGAAGGGCACCCAGAAACTCTTGGAACTATTTTTATAACCTCTTGTGAGTCTAATATTATTTCAGAAAAGTCATGTGGCAAGGCCAAGCACTAGTTCTAGGATCTGAACCTGGGGTCCATAAGGACTTGCTACGGGGGAGTCAGGGCTCAGTTTGGCAGGAGGGATGGAGTCCCTGAGCTGGAATGTGGTCAGGGCCAGGGCCAGGGCCATGGGCTCTTGGTCTTACAGAGTATCTCTGATGCCCTTCAGTGGACACAAGGAAAGGTACTTATTTGTGGGTGTTCTAAAAAGTGTCACATGTGATCAGGACTGTCAAACAACTCAATCACAACCAGCAATCACAAGAGCTAGTTAGACAGACGAGATCTTCACTGACTGTGTGTTCTACCAGCATCACAGAATCTTCTGGAGGAGCTGCCTCTCAAAGGAACCAACTGTCAATCATCTGTGAAGTCCCAGCAGCAGGGAGTGAAGTTCTGTAACTCACCAGGGTTCCCGGGACAAAGTGTACTTGGTCCGATGCACTCGATGGAGATAGTAGCGTTTCATTTACATCCTGGGGGAAAATGCTGACTTACTCAGAGGTAACCCATTTCCCTCCAGTTGAAAACAAAGCAGGTGCACCTTTCCCCTGCGCACATGCTCATATACAAATAAAAATTAGCACTGTGATGCGGGGGAGGGAAGTGGGAGTAGAAAAGGCAAGGTGGGGAGATGCAAGAAAAAAACACTATAGAGAAAGGGAACTGCGTGAGCCCATTTGACTGAAGATGCAGATTCTAACACTCCGTCGATGTCACCGACACCTGAAAACTGAGCATGCGCACGGACCAGGTCTAAGGTGACGGAGGCGAACGGCGCTGCTGAGGGCTAGGGACAGGACTGTGGGCAGGTTTTGCTTTGGGTTCCTATTGTTTTAGTATAAGCCCTTCAATAACGAAATAAAATTTCAAAGAAAATAAAGCAGGCAATGGACCTTAGCAACAGTTTAATTTAAGATCGTTCATGCCTTGCCAGAGACTTAAAATATCAGCTTACCCGATAAATCGTAAGTGACAGCTTAACTCAGGGAAGGCGTGTGAATGGCCAGTCATCACAGGTGCACTTAATATTTGCAGGAGACCATGAAGGGAACCCAGAGATACACCAAGAAATAGAAGCTGCTGGGGGCCTTGGTCTCCTGCCCTGTGAGTGGGGAAACAGGATACCCCCTGCACAGGTTTGGTGACAGATCAGGGGGACTTTCTGTGGGACGCAAACCCCAGGGCACGGTCAGTGGGTCATGCTTATCGTGCTGCTCAGGAGCAATGCTTCTGGCCTCTGGAAGCTCACAGACCAGCCGAAGAGGAAGGAAGGAGAGGCCCCCACCAGCCCTTTGGGGTCTCTGTGCGCCCTTTCCCCCGGGAGTGTGGACTCGGGGGCAGATGCCCGCTGGCTCTGGCCCTGCTCACCACACCCAGGCACCTGCTCAGTAAATGCCGGCAGCCTGGGGGCAACTCATTGTTTCTGTAGCGGGATCCTCAACTGCTCAGAGAAGGGACATTTAGCAGCTTGGGAACAGGGTTGTAAGTGACACTGCACTGCACAGTGAGAAAATCAGCCCCTTTCTAATTCCTCTTCCACACTCCTAATGACATCAAGGAGGAGGTCTGTCTGGGGCCAGCCTGGCTTGGCTCTCTCGCTCTTCCCAAGGAGGGAGCCCCTGAGCCACAGGCAGGCAGCACTTTCTGCCTGGAATTACTGGGTTCTGTTTCTAGTGTGTCTGTTTTCCACTTACCTGCTCTTTATTACGAGTCAAACTGGTTTTTTATTTACAGTTGAAATATAAAATTTCCTGTAATTAAAGACGTGTACCTCATTTGGACACAAGTCCATTTTAAAGAAAAACAATTTTTAATACACTAGTACAAGGGGCACATGCGTGTGGCAAGAAGTCGTGGATGTGGCCCTGGACAGACTGGAATTTGGACACTGAGTCATTGGACCCTTGAGCTGAGAGGTCGCTGAGGGCGAGCGGAACCGCAGAGGCTTTGCAGGTGGGGCTGGGGTGGAGGCGAGCGCGGAGTGGGCTTGCGGAGAGTCATGCCGGGATGTGGGCGGGACGGGGGCCTGGGCGTCCCCCACCTTTGGAGCCACCAGCAAACCACTGCTCTGTTTCAACCCAAGCAGCAAATGAGCCACGCTTACCTTGGCTCCTAGCTTGGCGTGCGCCTCGGTGGTGTTGGCGGGCGGGGATGGCATCTGATCCCTGACATCTGACCTTCCCTGTGGGACACAGGGAAGGAAATCCGACAGGGGCTGAAATTACAGATGCAGACGTGAGAGCAGAGAGCAAGGACTAACACCCCCCAAGCACGCTGTTCTGCGCTGTCACAGACCAAAGACTTTACATGGGTTAATCGGTTAAATCGTCCAGTAAACCTGAGAGGGAGAAAGCAAGCACTACTAAGCCCAGTCGGTACATGAAAGGCAAGGATCAGTTAGATTATGTCTCTGATGAGACTCCGGTTTGGACCCTAAACCCAGGTTTGTTGGATCCCAGTTCTCAGAGCCCTGAAGATACCGGGGCAGGAAGGGGGTGTGTCCTGAGCTGCGAGTCAGAGATGAGAGGAAGGACGTCATCGTGGTACAAGGTGAGACTGGAGGCTCCTAGTCCCGGACGGCGCTCCCGTCCCTCTGACAGCTGGCCCTTGACCGCCAGACCCCCGGCCTGCCCGGCCTCAGCCCTGCAGTGACCGAGGGTCCCTTCCACACACTCTGCTTCTGGAGCTGCCTCCTCCTTTCTAAGAGGCAACCTCTCAGCCGCCGGCCAGCAAGATCCCCACCGCCCCGCAGCCAGTGCCGGGAGCGACCTCCCCTCGGGTCTCCTTCCAGTCTGGGGCCTGGCTCCCACGCGGGAGTCTAGCGCAGACCCTGGCTTAGGGGTGATTTCCATCTTCCTGGGTGGCTGAGCGTCAGCGCCCAGGGGAGTGGCCAAAGGCAGGGAATTCTGTCTGTTCCATAAAGCACCGTTGTTTGTCCAGAGGGTTTCCTTCTCAAAACCACACAAGCAAATCAGAGCAGGTACCCGCTCTGCTCCTTGCTGGGGTCGGGGGTTCCTTCTGGGGGTCCTGCTATCTAGGTAGTTCAGACCTGCCTCCGCTTTCCCGTCTGCACTCTGGGAAGGGATGGAAGTCAGCCTGCAGGGACGTGGGCCGAATAGCGTGAACGTCTACAATGCGACCCTTCCTTGGCGCCAGTGGAGAAGAGACAATGTGGGAAGGCTCCTGGGGGTCTCGGCCAGCCACCAGCTTCTGCAACCACCGACCATAGTTTGGACCATCTCCCTGTTTATTCCTGCTGGGAGCCAAAGTTAACCAGACCATCTCCTCACAGCGGGGTGACGCGCACTCGCTGTGACACTGGCCCGGGGCTCAGCCCTGCAGGCCAGCGGGCTCGGCCCGCGTCGCCCACACCATGGCCAGGGGGCCAGCGTGGGCACGTTGAGCTCAGGGGCATAACATCTTTTCCACTTACAGAAACTCCACCTGGCAAAGTTCATTTTCCCTAAACAAGGTTTCCCAGCCTTGGCACTGCGGAGGCTCTGGACCGGATACTTCTCTGTCGTGGGGACCGTCCTGTGCACAGCAGGACGTTTAGCACCGTCCCCAGCTGCTACCCCCAGATGCCACAAGCATTGTCCCCCTGCTGCATGCCCAACTGAGTCGTGACCACCAAAATTGTCTCCAGACACTCTCCTAGGGTGGGGCATGGAGAGCGAAATCACCCCTGGTTGAGAGCCACTGCCAAGAAGTCAGTTTAGCTGGCCTGGACAACTTTCATAGGAGTGTCTTCTTCCCTGTTCCAGCACGAGTGGGAGGATGAAATGGGAGGGCTCTGAGCGAGATCAGCGCGTCCGTGGCCGTCTGCACCATCGCCGTGAGACACAAGGCGTCATGCCCTTACCTGGGTACACGCGGGTCCGCCCTCGACATTATACAGGATCAGGGTCTGGAGGCCTTCCTCCTGCAGGGTGGGGCGCCCCTGCCTCTGGGCTTCAGACACAGAACAGCATCGCAGCAGGAAGAGCAGGGCGACTGTGATGAGACAGATGGGGAAGCGAGGACAAGGTCACCGACGTCAGAGGGTTTCCCAGGACCTGGTCTGTGGACTTACAACCCAGCCGCGAATGCACCGGGTCAAGCCACACCTCAGTCATCTCTGTAGCTGCAGCATTTTGCACAGCTCAGGGCGTAAACAGGTGCTATGTAACTGCTGAACTGACCGATTAACACCACGTGACCAGCAATAGTCTACCGCTTCCTTGTTAGTCTTTGCCAAGCCTGGGAGCCTAGACCTGTGTGCACTGCTGCGCAGCTGTTAGAAACCGTGGGGTCGCCCCCGGTGTCCATCTATGGGCCCATTTATGGGCTCCATTGCGGTCAGTTACTGCATACTGAGTGACCTGGGTGGCAACCTCTGGTCTGAGTCTGGGACTCTGACAAGCCTATGAGTCATTCTCAAAACCATCCCGCTGACCTTGGCTGTCATCTCTTCCCACCCCAAAGACTCCACAGCCCTGGGTTATGGCCTGGGAAGAGCAGCCACATCCCCAGTGCCGCCCCTGCACCTGCTGACCTGCCAGAGCCACGAGCGCTGCACAGACAGGGGCCAGGGCCCCCCAAGGGAGTTCGGCTCCGGCGACAGAAGGCTCTGCACATACGAATCCGTCCGGACAGGAACAGACCCTCACGTGGACAGTCTGCTTCTGGGAAAGTCCCTGTTTGTCTCCGATGAAAAGCGGCACAGAGTAGTCACCACGTGGGAGGCTTCTCAACATTAAAAGTTCCACCGACCGACCTGCAGAGGGAGAGGCACCTTACCTGCCTTCACTTGTTCATTTGCTCAGCTGCTCAACAGACATTTAATAACACTGCCCACGGGCCAAGGCTCTGCATGAAGTTGGAGGGAACGGTCACCAAGGCCACCCTCACTCCGGCACCACCTGCAGGTGCGGGGGCTCCCAAGAGCAGCCTCAGTTTGGGTAATTCTCTAGACGGACTCGGAACTCACTGAAAACTGCACTCATGGTTATGGTTTATGACAGTGAAAGAATATGGATTAAAATCAGCCAAGGGAAGAGGCACATGGGGCAGAGCTTAGAAAAGCTCCAGATGTAGAATTCCCAATTCTCCTGCTCGTGGAGGCAGGACGGTATTACCTCCTGGCAAGTGGGAATGATGAGGTTCATGTGGGATACTGCCAACCAGGGAAGCTCACCGAGCCCTGTGTCCAGGGTCTTCATCAGAACGTGGTCTTGTAAACCTGGTTGGCTGCCCACATGGCCTGTTATTAACCGATACCCACACACTCATGTGACCCAAAGACCACACCCTAAATAGCACTGATCCTATTGACGGACACGAGACCCCCTCCCCTAGGTAAACACAGACACATTTATCAGGCAGGGCATTCAAGGCCTTGGAGATCACCTCCCAAAAACCAAGGCAAAAGCCAGACCTCTTTGGGGTACGGTTCAGTGCTTTATGACACATTCTGGTCTGGGAACTGTAAATGTGAGTTCACAGTTTCAACTGAAAAGCATGTCACATCCTACAGACCCATTAATAGAAGTACAAAGGAGAATGTTGACGGTGAATGCCAGTGCTCCCTCCGGGTAAAACCGTCCCAGTTTTCCTCTGCGGGAGCCCACACTTCCTGAACTCCCAGCCCCTGTGGACCGCTAAGCCCAGATCCCAGCCAGGTCCAGGTGGGGGCTCAGACCCAGCCAGTCAGCACATCTGCCCTCCAACCCCACCCGCAGCATTGGCAGGGCAGGTGACCCAGGGCTTGCGGTGATGTAAACCTCGTGCCAGGTACCAGGATGAGGCCCAGGGACTCCCAGCAGCCACCCTGCTGCCCCCAGAGGAGAGCCTGCCTGAAGACAGAGGCACCCAGGGAAAGACAGAACCAAGGTCTGGAGAGGCTTCCTCCAAGATCTCCCCTTAGCACCTGGCTCTGCTGGGACACAGGCTTACCTGGCCTATTTCCCGGTTGCATGAACCGATACATTTCTCTCTCACCCGAGTCTGAGTCAGGTCTCTGTCATTCTCCATCCTTAATCCCTGGCCAGCGCAAATACTCACCCCGATTTTCCCCCAGTTTCCATGTGTCTTCTGTGTTTCCCCAGGTATTGTCCAGTTCGAAGGTGAACGGGTCGGAGAAGGGCTCAAGGTCGCCGTCCTCTGCCTGGATGAGGAGGGGCTTGTCCCCTGCAGACTCGCAGACCTCCAGGTGTCGAGACCCGGGGTGGAGGGTCGGGGCGTTGTCATTGGTGTCGGACAGGAAGAGCAGCATGGTCCCCGTCCCTGTCCGCGGCGGGACACCTTGTGGTTGGGGGGGGGGTCCAGGAAGGAGCTTATTAATTAAAACGCCTGCTCCACACGCACAAAGCCCTGGGAAGTGAGCACTCTCAGCCTCCGAGAGGAAGAACCAATTCCACTGAAATACTGAGGCCATTTCACTCTCAAAGTCTCCAGCTTTGTTAGACGTGCTCAATCTGTTATCCTGCTTTTTTGAAAACTCAGAATATCTGGGAAGGAGAAGTTAACAAAACACTTGCCCCCTCAGATGATTTGTGGAATGAGGTAGAATGTAGAATCATCCAGTAAATTAAAACATCAGTCATGCCAAGTGCTAAGGCAGAAGGCGGGGTGGGGAAGGGGGTGCCGTGGTGACGAAAGGGTCTGCATCTGGGCTGTGTCCGCGCGGGGACCCGGGTTGTGCTCTCCCGCCAGAGATCCGCCAGGCGTTACCACTGGGGACGCCGGGCGGCGGGCACTTGGCAGCCCACTACATTATTTCTTAAAACTGCACGTGAATCTACAATTATCTCAGAATAGAAGTTCAATTTTTTTCAAAGTGCCAACCATGAGATCGAGGTACCATAGCAGAATCACGGGAAGACAGACGTGCGTTCACTCTCCTCACTTAGAGCTGACTGGGGACACAGATTTCATATTTATCTCATCAACAATCTACTGTTAATTATACACACGGGATATACAGTGCCGTATCCATGGAAACCCAAGTTTTAATTTACAGATTTTTCTTAACTACAATCATTAAAGTTATCTGAAACTTTTTCATTTTCCCAACTTTATGTTTTGGTAGGTTTAAAAGTTCAGCCTTGAGAGATCACGGAGAAAAGTGTTAAAACCTGCTCATAAAACCAGAGTCTGGTTTATGACGAATAAGTCCCACACAGTCACGTTCACCTCACCTTATAAGCCGTTCTAGGTACAGGGAACCTGTGCTAAATGTTTATCACGTGCAGTTGGCTTTGACAGAGGCTAAAGAGCTGTGTTATAAATGGGTGGAAAAGACGCCGGGTTTGGTAGCAGCTCCCTAATTAGTCCTTCTGAGTGCATACCGCCCCCTTTCCCTGGCCTCGGCCCCTGGTTTGCCATTTCAAGAATCATCATGAAAAATAATCACCAGCATGGATGCAAAGTGATGAGAAGTTTCATTCTATATTTTCCCAGCTGTGCTGAAAGACTTGCACCAGTGTTATTTCCCCTCAAGGAGCAAGAAAACACATTTCCCCTACGGTTTTAGGCAAGTGCTTACCATCGTCAACAGCGTGAGCGATGATCATGTAAAAACTGTCATTTACGTGAGGCGACTCGCGGTCAACTTGCTTCCTGGTGACAACCGCTCCTGAGCGCTCATCTAGGGTGACCCAGTCTGCCGGATCATAAGCCAGTGTGTATCTTGTAGAAGAAAACATGTGCAGTTTTTAAAATTAAACAGTTACATCAAAAGACAAATTAAATATCTAAATCTAAATCTATATATCACAGCAGGCACCCTTTTTATTGCAAGTAATCTGGGAAATTCTGTGAACAGTTGGAGATGTTTGTGAATCTGATAAAGGCCCAGGCGTCTGAAGCCTGGGCTGGTGTCCAATCGATATTCACTGAACGCCCGGTGCCCCGGCCTGTTGGGCCGCACGTAACTGTCCGCCTTAGGAAAACGTTTCATCCTGGAGCAGCCGATCTTCAGCTGCCTGGTGGCTTGCTGTTAAAACCAGTCTGTCCTTGCAACAGATGCCGAAGACTTTGCTCTCCCTGGAGCGGACGTCTCCGCGCAGGCACAGGTAACCCAGGCCGTCCGCGCGGCCGCCCGCGCCTGCGCGCCTGCGCGCACCTGGAT